TGAGAAGACCGCGTTCAGGGTTGGTACAGGGGGACTATATGACAACACCCAGATGCCATTTGGACTCACAGAAGCACCCGCAACGTTCACGAGGTTAATGGACATGATATTCGGGGACCAAAACTTTCAAACACTAATTGTCTTCATGGATGACATCTTGGTGTTTGGGGCTACAGAGGAAGAGGTTCTTGGAAGACTTGACATGGTTCTGACAAGGCTATCCACATTCAACCTGAATGTCCGTCCTGAGAAATGTCAGCTATTCAAGGAAAAGCTTCGGTATCTGGGCCACTGGATTTCGCAGGAGGGAATTCTCCCAGATCCAGAAAAGATAAGGGCTGTTATCAAATGGGAAATTCCTAGAACAGAGATGGAACTAAGAGGATTCTTGGGACTCGCAGGTTATTATCGGAGATTCGTAAAGGGATTTCCAAAAGTTGCTTCCCCATCACACGCACTCCTACAGGAAAGTGACTGTCAGAAGAAACGAAAAGAACGAGGGAAGATCTCTAGAGGTGTTGGGATGGGTGCTTGGAATGCCGCATGTGATGGTGCCTTTCAGGAACTGAAAGCCAACTTACTTCCGCTCCGATTCTTGGGTTTCCCGACTTCAACAAGCCCTACATTTTTGAAGTGGATGCTAGCTACCTAGGACTTGGAGCTGTGTTATCTCAGGAACAGGAGCAAGGAAAGGTCATCCTTAGTTATGCCAGCAGCTCGCTACGGCCAAATGAGAGGAACATGCAGAACTATAGCAGCATGAAGCTGGAGCTGCTAGCCCTCAAGTGGGCAGTAACTGAGAAGTTCAGAGACTTGTTGTTTGGGACAAAGTGCTTGGTTTACACTGATAATGATCTGCTAAGCTATGTGCAACCAACGGCAAAGCTGGGAGCTACAGAGATGAGGTGGGTGGGCGAGTTGGGACAGTTTAACCTCACCATTCGCCACAGGTCGGGCAAACAGAACAAAAATGCAGATTCTCTGAGTAGGAAAACATGGCACGGAGAAGAGGCAGCACGTCTGGAAAAAGCCAGTGTTCAGACAACAATTCCCTTCCGTGACTCTACACAGTTGCCGGGAGATTTGAGATCCACAATCCAGGAGATGTCTATCCGTGTATGGGAAGAGGAGCTGCACACAACAATCAGGAGACAAAGTCCTCTCCTTGTAACCTCCATGCCCATGCTGTCAGCTGAAAATCTGTCCAAACTTCAACTAGAGGATCGCTGCATTAGCCGGTTCATGACCTACTGGGATAGGAACGTTAAACCGTCCAAGCGGCAGGCAAATAGAGGACACCCTGGTACAAGAAGGTTATTCGCCTACTGGAAGCAGATTGTAGAAGATGATGTACTTTACCGTCGAATTGTTCAGGATGGAACTGTGGTTAAGCAGATCTTATTGCCTGAAACTTTGAAAGACAAGGTTCAAAAAGCAGTACACGATGATCATGGAAATCAAGGTTATGAGAGAACGTACTCTCTTTTGCACAGTCGTTGCATGTGGCCATACATGGCAAGAGATGTAAACGAGTATTGCGCGAAGTGTCCCAGATGTGTTTTGGGAAAACATGGAGAACAAGTGAGACCGACAATTGGATCGATCATTGCAAAGAGACCGTTAGAAATACTAGCTATAGATTTCATTCTTCTCGAGCCGCGCACCAACAACATTGAGAATGTGCTAGTGATGACCGACGTGTATACCAAATTCGCACAGGCCATACCACCAAGAGATCAGACTGCCAAGAGAGTTGCGCAAACTATGGCGAGGGAATGGTTTGTTTACTATGGAGTACCTCTAAGAATACAAAGCGACCAAGGACGCAATTTTGAAAGTAGGCTAATCCATGAGTTGTGTAATATCTATGGAATCTTCAAAACCAAAAACACTCCGTATCACCCACAATGGAACAGAAACTGTGAACGCTTCAACAGGACCCTTCACAATTTGTTGCGTACTCTCCCCCCGGAGAAAAAGAAAAAGTGGCCGGACATGCTACCAGAACTTGTGTGTGCTTACAACTCTACACCTCACGCAACCCCAGGGTATTCCCCACATTACCTGTTCTTCAGACGAGAACCAAAGTTACCAATAGACATGTTGTTAGGCAACACTGATAAAGTGCCACAGGAGGAGTGGACAGCGGAGCATGGCAGAAAACTGCAAGATGTCTACAGATTGGTTTCGGAGAGGACGGAGAGGGAGGCTCTCAAACGAAGGGATCGATCAAATCAGAATGCCATCGACAAAGATCTTGCAGTGGGTGGACGCGTATTTATCAGGAATCACCCCTTGGGCAGAAACAAGATAGGAGACGTTTGGGGGTCCAAACCGTATAGAGTGGCGGAAAGAAAGGACTTCAACGAGTATGTTATTGAACCACTCGTCGGAGACGGGCCAAGCAGGACAGTACACAGGAAGGAATTGCTCGACGCAAAGACACTTGTGGCTGACATCCACGGAGTACTAGAACAAAGATGCAGGGTGCCAAGGAGGCGGCGGGTGAGGGAGTGTGATGGAGAGGAGAGTGATGGAGATCTGGGCGAGTACTTGTATCCACTAGAGGAGGATATCCTGGATGTGCAGGGGGAGGCGGTACAGCCTAGCTGTGACATAGCAGGCGGTGCGGGCACTGCAGGGCCCGAGGAGAGTGCCTCAGGGGTGCCGGCGTTGTGCACCAAAGATGCACGTCAGGATTCTTCCGATCGGGTCGAAGAAGTTGACAGTACTACTTCATTCGAAGCAGGGGAGCCCAGTTTGGACCATGCCAGACTGGATCAAATGGAAGAAGCAATGGACAGTGGTACTTCATCCGAAGAGGGGGAGCTGGATGACACACCACTACGTAGAACACGTAGGGTGACAGCTGGGATGCACTCAAACCCTCACAAATTACCCAGACCGGTCGTACAACAGGATATGTCATGTGTCTCGCCGACACTAGTCAGTGCATCTGTAATAGAAAATATCAGCAAAACTCAATTATTGTTGGTAGAACTGCTGTGTAAGACTGTTAGGGAATGATTGGACTGAAACAGGTTGATTGAAAAATGCACTTGAGGTGCCTGCTTTATAATCAAAATGTTGCGTCGATGGACTGAGACGCGGACAATCGGTATGTTCTCTGAGATGGATGTCAGTTGCGTTTGATTACTCTAAATGGTGCACAATGTGCGGTCACCGGTTTCAGTTTTTGTGTCTGACAAGCCAATAATTGCGTGTTTTATAGCGAAGAGTTGTCAGGGACGCCAACTCCAAGCAGGGGAGTGTAAAGTAGTATCAGAGACGTACACTTCAATCCCAGTATTATTGTTTACATAACATTAAGGAAATAGCCGATCGGTACCGGAAGTACCAGAGTGGATACCAGTTGTGTGTTATGTTTGCTAGACCAGTATTACTTTCTAGTTTGGAGGTCAGAATATTATTATATTATTATTTGTATTCACTGATTTTGTGAGCTGGTATATACGTTATAGACGTTTTTGATGCCTGCATATATGTTTTGGGTAAAATACTGGATCTGTCAGCGGCCTTTTTGCGACGCCATCTTGCACGTGTAGAACTTGCCATTTTGTTACGACTGGCACAGATTACACAATCTAAACGCCTCAGCCTGCGGTGAGTGTATTTTCTATAATTGTATAGCTCATAAGGTTCAATAATCACCCGGCAATACGAATTGGCAGAGATCTTTCACTGTTACGCATTGTAAATTGTTGAATTCTCCGATCGAATGACGCTTGGTAGAAACATGAGAATTCACAATCTCGTTTTGGTCATGCATGTCGTCTGCTCGTGTGGGTTGTGTTGTGGAACTATATGTGGATGTAAATAGAATATATTCTTAGGTTGGCTATTCATGACATGCACCGGTATTCCAAACAGACAAACTGACTATTTACCACGTCTTGAGTAATTGTATGTTGTACCCATGTTTTAGTTAGAATGCAATGTACTAGTGCAGTAGCAATTGGTAGCAATGATGCCAATGTTGATCCTTATGTACCGCAGATGCTTTCTGCCACATACGAATGTTTTTGAATGGAATGTTGCGTACTTTGAGGCTACGGTTACATATTTGTAATAACCACATTAATGGAAATGGTGGACAAACCGTTGTTTCAATTTGTATTGTATAGGCACTCCTGATACCGCTGGGAAGGAAGCCGGTTGTAGGCTGGAGTACCCACCCGGAGTAGTCGGGGGTGAGTGGTTACCTTAGTGGTTACCATGGTAATATTACATATTAAAGTCTGTTTAGTTAATGTAAGATTAATTGTCAATAATACACACATACACATATATACACACGCACTGTTTATGTATGCCCCACAATTGCGTTGTATTACGATATATAGCGGGTTCACACACCCTGGGTTATCGATTATTAATCATCGTGCTGTTACTGTTACCATGCAGTTATGTATCGTATTTCATGCCTGACCTTGGCGTTTCCAGACGTAGTAATACATACCTTAAATGGACAGTAGCCTCGAGGATTTTACTGCATACAACTGTACTTACTGTATAACAAATCGTCCATACCCACACGTATTTGTTACCAGATACCTAATTTAATTGTTATAATTAATTACACATCAACGCTACGAAATTTGAACAGTGCCATGACACCCGCGACCGTGCTGCCACCCCGAAAAAGTCGAGTATTTGACAATTTATTTTGCACGTTACAGACCGAGGACTAATCACAAACGTGCAATTATATTTATACCTAAATGCTATTTAACCGAACGATATTCATTTTAGGGCAAATTTATCCATATTATAACTGAAACTATATGTCGTTTATAAGATATTACAATCATTTAGCTTTTAAATGAATAAATAAGAAACATCCTCGGTCTGTAGCCCTTGGCTGGAAAGTGGTTTTGCACAACTTATCAGATCGTGCGCTTTGAGTGGCGCCACCGTCGTTGTAATCAAACTGTAGTCGTTAGTTTTAAAACATTAAAAAAAAATATTTCTAATGGTGATTGAACCATGAAACTCTTTATGTAGCGTAATTATAACCTAAATTAGCTGAAAATAACCCTAGAACCTAGAGTACACTCTCCCTTTAAGGTGGATTACATGGTTAATAATCTCTACATAGTTATGATACTTTCTGACATGTATTGAGTATAGTCCATGTGAAATTGATATAGCGACTGGTTGTAATGCTGTCATTCGCTTGAGTCAGCACACTACAATGTGATTCCTGTTTGCTGTGTTAATAGGTTCTGCTTTTGCACCTAAATAAAGTGCTGTCCCGTCTCTCGCCTCTGGTGCAGTGTCGGGTTCTCTTCGGGTCTCATGTTGTTTGTCGCTGACACCCAGCTGCCCGTCGTCCATTGTAGTGGTGTCCTGTTGGTTTGCTGCTTCTGATGTCTCTCGGAGGTGTCTGCGATTGCGGCGATACAGCCGACCTCCGCTGCAGATGACGTAGGATCTGGGTCTCCCATAGTGCTTTACCACCGTCCCCGATTTCCAAGACTTGGAGCCTGGAAGAGGGTTCATGTGTATGCGGTCACCTTGTTCTAGTGGTTTTGGCTCCTTCACACCTCTCCTAAGGTCATAATAAACCTTTCGTTTTGCCTTCTCTTTATTGAAGTGTTCTTTCACTACTATAGCGAATTGTGTATTCTGGGTTTTAGGATTTCCGTAGAGGCAGGCAAAGTATTCCTGGGGCGCCTGCCCATCAGAAGTTGAGCTGGGGATAATTTAATTCCCTCCAACGGTGTAGTTCGGTAGTCTAGTAGAGTTAAGTATTTGTCCTCTGCCTTGCTCATCCGACACTTACTCTTCGCATGTCAGCGGAAAGTACATTTCATGGTCCTTTCAATAAAGCCATAAAAATGCTAGGTCACCGCTGAAACAAAAATTTTTTGCAATCGCTCCGTCAGACCATGTCCTCAGAAAATGTCTAAAATCTGCCATGTGCCCCATTGACCTTTGACCTATGACCTCCAATTTCGGCACAGTGATGGCTTTTCCTACCATGATGCTATACACCGACTATCGACCGAATTTCCTCCCTATACCTTAAGTTAAGGAGTGAATGTTCCCCCTTCTTTTACACCTCTTGACGTTTGACCTTTGACCCCCCAGCTTCGACATCCCAACTCGTTTTGACGATCCCCCCCGATGTGCCGAATATCGTGACCGTACGTCGAGTGGTTAAGATTTGTGCCCAACTGTTGACGGACGGACGGCCGGACGGACGGACGATCATGCGATTCTACAAGCTGCATCTGACTACGTCAGATGAGCTAAAAAATGGGAAAGGTATGACCAGTAAGATATGACCACCATGTTAAATTTTCCTGAATTGAAACATATAGGCATATCTTTCAATATTGTTTATAGCGTGGTGGCAACGAAGGGCTATAGCACTCGAGAGCTAATCTCAATATAACAATAATAAAACATGTAGAACTAGAGCACTCGGAGAGCACAGACCTCCGCCAAGGCAGCTGAATTCTCTCAATGTGAAATTTTTTATTAATTAATTAATTAATTAAGTGGAAAAATTAATTAATTAATTAATTAAATAATTAATTGGATCCGGATTAGTGCGAGCGTGCAGGTGGGGGAGGACGTACTGTGGTTGCCCCTTAGCCTGTGGTTGCGTGTTTGTAAGTCTACATGCAGCCAGCGCACCTAGCGGAAGTGAACTGAAACGTGCATGTTAACAAACCCACAAACACACAAACCAACACTCAAACACACGCCGGTGAAAACATAACCCCCGCCAAGCCCCTGGTGGAGGTAATGAATGCCGGTGATTATGGCCAAGTACCTGGTACCAGGTACTGGTACCTCGTACTAGAGACACCTGGCCTCGATTATTTACCAATTACCAGCTGAGCGTTGCCACTGGCATTGTCCTATTATAATTATACTGCTCGGTAGCGATAAATGCTGTCAATGATAACAGTTGTTTTTATATCTAGACTGCATGGAATACGCAAGAAAACTACTGCAAACCTCAAAATGAGCTATAATAACTAATGTTTATAAGCTATTTTCGATATTACACTTACTTAAAAGTGCTAGTATAGTCGTCCTCTCTGAAGTGATCGCTGCAGACTTTAGAATGCATCATCGGTTTCCACAAATTTTCCGTGGTGTCCTTAACTCTCCTCACAGCAACCCTCCATTTGTAGTTCAGATTCGGGTTCGCTGGAAACTTATGACAAGCTTTAGCCGATTTACAACCAGGAACACAACAGTATGAAGGCATTTTAACTTGGTTATATCGCTATGATGATAGGATCGGCTATGCCTGATTCCTGTATCTTTCCAACTGACCGGTTCGTTGCGCAATCGTTGTAACACCTTTGCTCACGCTGCGCCACCTGCTGAAAAAGCTAGCGGCTAACCCCATTAAACTGTTCCCTTAGGATTGAATCTGTTGTATTTATTTTTCTTCCATCATAAAGTACAATCTCCTGCATTGTTTTATTGGTATAATTTCGGTTCTCAAGACTAAGAAAATAAGCTGTTGATTTTTCTCATACCACTGTGCTCTAGATCTAACAGCTATGCCTTCAGTTTTTTTAATTCTCTCAATTTTTATAACTCATTGTTCAGTTTTTCTAATCTTTCAATGTTGTCGATATTAGCTATTAGGATTATGTTTTATAGCTTTTTCTATTTCTGATATTTCTTTCTCCGGCTGCTTTTCTTCTTTAATATTTTCCCTTTTAACCCTAGCCGAATACGGTATAGTGAGGCCTCTTATTTCCAGCAATAAAGTTTCCCAAAATAGCTGGTCATTTATAGTCAATTGAATTTTGGAGTTTGGACATGAAGATACAAAATCGGGGTTATAGGGCGTGTCTGCATAAAACTGTTTCATATCCTGAATTTTTTTTTTTACCATTCCTATATATGTTGTATCCTTCAATAAAGTATTATTAAGTTTCCAATATCCTCGACCTCTCGTATGATTTGATACTGATATTTCTATTCTAACACTGGCATGATCTGACTTGTATTTTGGTTGTATTTCCGAGGAAGTTATCACTGCCATAATGTCCTCAGTACATACAAAATTATCTAAACAGAATATATACTGGGGTAATTACCCCTAAATACATTTCGAGATAGGTACCAGCCTATAAATATTTGCGTCACCTAACTGCACTAACACGCGCAGTTTTGTTGGACGGTTTGAACATTCCATTGGCGCGAATCTGAAGATTGAGCACCAGCACAACACGTAACAATGATAACGTTATGAGACGGCAGCGCCCTCGGATATAAACGGGGCTTCCAGGGATGTAGTCAACCCGGCTATGTAAGAATAATAAGCGCCAAATATAAGTCAGTGCAATCAACAGAATCTTCACGGAATACTGATCAACACACGGCCCATGTCTCTATACTGGGGTAATTACCCTTAAATACATTTCGAGATAGGTACCAGTCTATAAATATTTCCGTCACCTAACTACGCGCACTGTTTTGTGGGACGGTTTAAACATTTCATTGGCGCGAATCTGAAGATTGCAAGTGCACGTTTGTACATTGACCGGCGAGTCTAAATTTGTCTGAATTTATTTTTCGATTTATTTCAGAAATCACCATTTTAAGGTTAACCTCACGTTGTTTCTTTTAATTGGTGCACTATACATTTTGACACATTCGTATTTTCACAGGTACTATTCGTACCTGCTCTCTGCTTCTCTTAATATCTGGTAAAAAATTACCACTCATCTATTTAGCAGCTTTTTATTCATTGATCTGAATAAATTGACATACATAAAATAGACAACTGGACCTGCTCTATGGAGCACATCCTACTACTGCTCATAGGGTCTATGTCCCCCAGGGTACTGCCGGAACGGACCCTGGGTACGGTCCGGTATACCGGAACGTACCCTGGTCACTATTTGATATGGTTAGGGTTAGGATTAGGGTTAGGGTTAGGATTAGGGTTCGGGTTCGGGTTAGGGAGTAGGCGTAGGCGACTCCCTAGACTCGTTATTGGAGTAGACAAGGTACGGTTCGGCATATTAGATAGTACCAGGGTACGTTCCGGTATACCGGACCGTACCCAGGGTACGTTCCGGCAGTACCCCGGGGGACATAGACCCTCTCAGCCCTACTACTATGTGCCTCACTATCCTATTCATATCCAGCTCGCGTATTGTTCGATGCTATATAGGCTTAAGCTATAGTCACACCAAGCTCCCGGACCGGGCCGGACGCTGCCGGACTGATCCGGGGAGAGATCCTTATTGGGTCCTGGACGGTCCTGGGCGGTCCGGCCCGGTCCGAGGTGGTCCTTGATGGTCCTGCGTATTCCGGGATATCGCCCCGGAAGTTTTAAACTGTTTACAATTTCCGGGGTGATCCGGGACGGTCTGGGAAGTTTTCCCCATCCAGGGTGGTCCTGGACGGTCCGTGGCGCGTCCGTGTTAGGTCCGGGACAGTCCGTAGTGGCACCGTTTTGAACCGGGCCTATCCGTGGCCATCCATGTCGTTTTTGTCGGCCACGGATCACTACGGATCAAGTTGGACCCAACACGAATGGGAGCACGGATGGGCCAGGAGGGGGCCGGACCAGGCCGGATCAGGTCCGTGGCGTCCGAGGCAGTCCGGGGCGGTCCGTAGTGACTCCGTGCTGGGGCCGGCTTCATCCGGGCTCAATCCAAGATGGTCCGTGGCGCTGCCGTGCTGGTCCGGCCGATGATGCTTTTTTTCGACCGTCTCGTAATCTTTTCACCCGGATCGCCACGGATTATAAATTTTACGGTCCGGGGAGATCCTGCCCCATCCGCGGTAATCCGTGGACAGTCCGGCCCCAGTGTGACTGAGGCTTTAGTGATAAATGATTTACAATTATTGATTAGTGGCAGACTAGGAGACTGGTGAGAAAGCAAGGGAGACCTACTAATTATAGATGTCTATATAAAAACAATTCAAACTTCAAAGTTCACCGTGCAGAAATACAGTAATCCCTCTGTAATCGCATGGGCTACATTCCTGGCAAATGCTGCCACTAAAGAAACCGTGATTGGTGAATAACAATGTTTAATGGTAAATATGTGGCTAGTTGACTAAAGGAGTACTAATGTTGCTGACAATATTATGACAATTTAGAAATTGCTGATGTTCCAGCAGCAACATTTGTTTGTATAGTTGCAAAACGTTCGTGAATTGCTCTGATATTATCATCGACTCATTAATGCCACACTAGCCTTGCTACTGATACTAAACGTTCATGATTCACGTGAAAAACCGGTTATAACCACATCTAGTTCTTTTTTAAAAGATTAGAGCAGAATTTTGCTCTGCCATTTCACAGTTATTGCCTCATTACCAGCACTTAGGTGATGTTTTGGTGGTTTGGTGAAGGGCCAAGTATGGTAATAGTATGAATGCATTAAGCCTGACTGTGACAGCAACGATGCGAGATGTGCATACAGATTTTCCTAGCATGGTAATCACCCAATCATGCACCACCTATGGCCCTCATTGTCTCGTGGGCTTGTGATGTCTGTAAACACAGTTCAACTTAATGTAAACAAAAAAGAAACAACCCAGATAGCATGCTTACGTTGAGCCAACGTTGGCATTTGGTTGGCACGGTCACGGTTGCCAATATGACGTTGGGCCAACGTTGGCACGGTCATGGTTGGCATGTGGTTGGCAATATGACGTTGGGCCAACGTTAGCGTATGGTTGGCATGGTCACGGTTGGCAAGTGGTTGGCTGCATGCCGTTGGGCCAACGTTGGCGTATGGTTGGTCCAACCATACGCAACGTTGGCCCAACGTCATGCAGCCAACCATTTCCAACTAGCATCATCATGATGCTAATTGGAAATGGTTGGCTGCATGACGTTGGGCCAACGTTGGCGTATGGTTGGCATGGTCACGGTTGGCAAATGGTTGGCTGCATGACGTTGAGCCAACGTTGCCGTATGATTGCATATGATACTAGTTACAAAGAATGCTCATTTTGTGCTACACATGTGTACCCTAACCCTAACCCTAAACATACCTCATATAGAAATATAAAACTAATACTAAACAACCGAAAACTACCTGATACGACAACGATCATTCGTGCTAACGACGACGATACGACGATACGATAACGACCCTTCGTAACGAACACATGCTTGGTGTGGAAGCGAGTATTGCAAATTAGAGTATATAGCTCGTCAAAGAACCACATACTAGTTAAAACTCGTGGTAGTATTACTAACGATGTAGAACTCGTAAATTACCTTATCCTTAGTGTCGTAGTCGTCGGCATCTGTCTCATCGGCGGCTCTTTTAGTTCCCCCTACCCCCAACGTAGTTAATAAATTTACCCCACATATTATAGAGATTATAAGCGGAATCATATCTGAAGTTGGAGCACGATGTTGAAACAGGTCCGTGTGTAAGAATATCTTCGCCAGAAATGCGTTTGCTGACCACAGCCATCTCTCAGGAAACGTGTTTTCATGCTTCGTTTGTTGTCATGTGACGTCAGTCGTGACGTTTCACGTGACCCGCGTGACGTTTTTGGTGGAAACAAAAGACGTGCGCAATGACCCTGCGCACTGGCGCAACGATCATCTTTTTCCACGGCTGCCTTTTCTAATGTCACACCTGTGGACACCTTCACTCCGTAAACACTGACAGTGTAGCGTAGCCCTGAAGGTGTCGACCGGGTACCCGTCCATCGATTCGCTTGAGGGCATATTTGCACGCTTGATTAGACCTCCTCGGTATGGTTCATCGGCGCAAATAATATTATTATACATATATTATATAAAGCTGATATGATACATGGGGAAATGCATAACAATATTTAATTTGATTTAGCCAACGTTGGCCCAGACGTCATATATCCAACGTTGACCCAACGTCATATTGTCAAACGTTGGCCCAACGTCATATTGCCCACGTTGGCCAACGTCATATTCAACGTTGCCCCACGTCATTTTGCCAACGTTGGCCCAACGGCTTTTTGCTCGGCGTGTCAACGTTAGTTTTCCCCTCAAACACTCCCTCTTTGGTTCTCTCTCTCTCTCTCTCTCTCTCTCACACACACACACGCGCGCGCGCGCACACCTCTCTCTCTCTCTCTCTCTGACACATACACACTCCCTCTCTGGTTCACTCTCTCACTCACACACACACGCGCGCACCTCTCTCTCTCTCTCTCTCTCTGACACATACACACTCCCTCTCTGGTTCTCTCACTCTCTCTCTCTGTCACACACACACAACACAAACACCTCTCTCTCTCTCTGAC